AGAACAAATGGGCAGGGCCGGCCCATGGCTCACTTGGAAGAGTGTGGTGTTGATAACACCAAGGCCACTGGTTTGGATCCCTATATAGGGATGGCTGGTTAGCTCTCATGGGAGAGTGTGGTGCTGAGAACACCAAGCCAAGGGTTAAGATCCCCTTACTGGTCATCTTTTGTAAAAAAAAAAGAACAAATGGGCAATGTAACCAGAGTGATGGAAATTCTAAGAATCCAAAACAAATGCTAGAGATCAAAAACACTGTAACAGAAATGAAGAATGCCTTTGATAGGCTCATTAGTGGAGTGGATATGGCTAAGGAAAGAAGCTCTGAGCTGAAAAATATCTCAATAGGAACCTCCATATCTGAAAAGCAAACAGAAAGGAGACTGAAAATATAGAACAGAATATCCAAGAACTGTGAATCAACTATAAAAGGTGTTGTTCCACTTTCATATGTATAATGGGAATTGCAGAAGGAGAAGAAAGAGAAAAAAGGAACAGAAGAAATATTTGAAACAATAATGACTGAGAATTTCCCTAAATTAATGTTAGACACCAAACCACAGATCCAGGAAGCTAAGACAACACCAAGCAGAATAAATGCCAAAGAACTACTCCTAGGTATATAATTTTTGAACTACAGTCAATTAAAGATAAAGGAAAAATCCTGAAAGAAGCCAGAGGGGAAAAAACACCTTACCTATAGAGGAGCAAAGATAAGAATTACATCCAACTTCCCAGAAACCATGCCAGCAAGAAGAGAGTGGAGTAAAATATTTTAAAACATTGAGAGAAAAAACCATAATAAAGACTTTCTCAGACAAACAGAAATTGAAGGAATTTGTTGCCAGGAAACCTGACTTGCAGGAAATATTTTTAAAAAGTTCTTTAGAGAGAAGGAAAATGGAGGGCCGGCCCATGGCTCACTTGGGAGAGTGTGGTGCTGACAACACCAAGTCAAGGGTTAAGATCCCCTTACTGGTCATCTTTAAAAATAAAAAAAAAGAGAGAAGGAAAATGGAGGGCCGGCCCATGGCTCACTTGGGAGAGTGTGGTGCTGACAACACCAAGTCAAGGGTTAAGATCCCCTTACTGGTCATCTTTAAAAATAAAAAAAAAGAGAGAAGGAAAATGGAGGGCCGGCCCATGGCTCACTTGGGAGAGTGTGGTGCTGACAACACCAAGTCAAGGGTTAAGATCCCCTTACTGGTCATCTTTAAAAATAAAAAAAAAGAGAGAAGGAAAATAGTATAGGTCAGAAAAGAAGAGCATTGGAGAATGCACAAGAGAACATAAAGTGAAAACTTTTATTTTTCTTATGCTTAATTGATGTAACAGGTAACAGTCTGTTCAAAATAATAGCAATAGATAAATAGGAAGATATACGAAGAGTTAGTGGAAAATAAATCACAAATGTCTCTTTAATATGTGAAAATGTTCACTTACAATGAAATGAAAAACTTCACTCACAATAAGAAATGCAAATGCAAATTACACTGAGATAACGTTTACTTATCTTTCAGATTGGTAACGATCAAAATGTTTGATAACATACCGAGGTTCGTGTTTGTGTATTGAAATAGACACTCTTGTAAACATTTTTTCTTTTTCTTTATGGCAGCTGGCCAATAAAGGGACCTGAACCCATGACCTTGGCATTATAAGGCTGTGCTCTAACCAACTGAGCTAACCGGCCAGCCCTGGAAATGGACACTCTTAAAAATTGCTGATGGTCAGTCTCTGTGGAGGGCAATTTGTCAATATTTATCAAAACAAAATGTATTGCCCTTTGACCCAGCAATTTTATTTCTAGCAAATTTTTATAGCAGTACTCCCACATGTGCAAAATGACATAGGTTATTCTTGTAAAATTGTTTGTAATGGTATAGGTTGGAAATGAATTAAGAATCCTTGAAAGGGATCTAGTTTTTAAATGGTAAAGCCATGTAATAGAATACTACATAGATATAAAAATTAATAAGAAAGTTTTTTGCTACTGATATGGAATTATGACCAAGCTGTTTTGATTTTTTTTTTTTATTATTTTGGCTAAGCTGTTTCGATAAATGAAAAAGGCAAGGGGAAGACTTTACGTTTGTGTATCCTACCATTTATGGAAATAAAGGAAGAAAGGAATGTATTTGTATATATTTGCTTGAATATGCATAACTTACCTCTGGAAAAGTATTAGCAACAGTAACATTGGTTGCTTTTGTGGAGGGGACCTTGATGGTTGAGGGATAGGAGTGAAAGAGAGACAATTCACTGTTCACTCTTTGATATTTTTTGAATTTTGAGCCAGGTGAATGGTGAATAAATTACCCATCCAAAAGAAGAGAAAATAGATGAAATTAAAACTAAAAAGGAAAGGAAACCTGACTTACTGTGATTCACACAAATGGGGAGATGCTTTTCTCTCTCGGAAGAAGAAACCCAGAAGTGGGTGCTTACTGACTGTCGGCTCAGGTGCTTGGTGAGGCCTCAAGAACCAGGTTCTTTCTCTTCTTCCAGGTCCTCCATCCTCTGAGGATTGGCTTTTTATCTCCATGGCTGTTTCCTCATGATGGCGAGATGACTGCCACAACTCAGGCATGATGTCCTCACACAAAATATCCCCCAAACAAAAAATAAGGGTCAAGGAAAACCAGCATCTCTCTCCTGATGGTGCTTTTTGTCTTGGGAAGGAAGACTTCCCTGTGCATGTTATTGTGCAGTGGCAAAGACGAGTGGGTTTATTGGCTGCTAGGATTGGGGGAGGAACCTCCCCTGATGATATCCTTGAATCTCTGCCCTAGTACAGAAATGGAGTTCTGTTCCTAGGAGAGCTGCAGAAGTCTGTTGGGTAGGCGGCAGAGAGAATCTGCCACAGTTGTCTAGGTAAACAGCTCCATCTTTTGAAAAGGGAAATTCTTAACTACCCCAGGACGACATATCCTCACATCTCCCAGTGCTACCACTGTCTGCCCTCTTGCATCTACTTTTCTTTTGGACGATAGCCTTAGCCTCCTCACTGGTGTCCCAGCACCCATGCGCACATTGGTCAAACTGTTAAGTTTTCTCCTCCACGTGCTGTAGGGCTGGGGTTCTCAAAAAGAGCATGTGAAGGACTAGCTGGGTTCAGACTCAGTTATCCCATTATCAACTACTGTTATATCCTGTTCCATCTCTGAAGACCACAATCAAGAGACTGTCTTCATGGATTTCCTGTCAGCTTTCCATTCTAGACAGGAGCTCCCCTCAATGTGGAGCATGTTCTGTTGAAGTGTCTTGGACACTGTATTGACTCAGCACTGGCAGAATAGGCACGGGCACTGCTATGGGTTAAATCGTGTCCCTCCAAAATTCCTGTGTTGAAGTCCTAACTCCTAGTACCTCAGGTTGTGACTGTATTTGGAGATGGGGTTTTTAAAGATTAGGACACACACATGCACAAAGGGAAAACCGTGTGAAGACATGGGAGAAGGCAGCCATCTGCAGGCCAAGGAGAGAGGCTCAGAAGAAACCAACCTCAGGGCTTGCTGGGTAGCTCAGTTGGTTACAGGGCTTCCTTAGAACACTCAAGGGCATGGGTTCAAATCTCAGCACGAGCCACCAGAAAAAAAGAAGCAAAAAAATAAGTCATCTTGCCTCACAGCTTGATCTCTGACTTCCAGCCTCTAGAACTGTGAGAAAATAAATTTCTGTGCTTAAAACCCCTAATCTGTGGCACTTTGTTATGGCAGCCCTAGCCAATCAATATTGGCAGATATAATCCTAAACCTGAATGGTGTCACATAGAGCTGAGTCTTAGCACCATTTGTTTAAAAATGTTCTCCTCCTTTTATTTTGTTGGAAAATGTGTAAAATCTGTATTTTATCTAAACGCATTGGAATGATTATTAAGGATTCATGTTGTCTGACTCCAGCATACTGCAGGAGTGGGAGGATTTAACTGTAATGATATTTACTTCTTAAAAAAAGAAGTTGGGTCTAATACTTTCACAGTCAACCTTAAATAACCCATCCACTAAGTTGGATCAGACAACTCCTGGGGTATGTGTTTTGCAGCTTCACCACCTTGATGAATCCCAGCAACAGAGTTCCTACCATCAGATCCACGACAGGGCCTTTTATGGCAGGAGCAGTCAGCTGAAACAGCTCCCGTGACAAGCTGCAATTGTCTCCACCAGGCAGCATGGTAGATAATTCTGGGGACCCAAACATTTACTAAGAGAGGGCCTTAAAGATTTAAAGTTTTCTGTGGGAAAAAAATAAAATAAGACAAAAAACCCCAGAAAAAGTAAAAGTCATGAGTGCTCCTTCTGAGCTCAAAGGAGGCCGGCCTAGATTTCCGTTCACCAACAGAATGTGAACTTGCCCTCTCATGTTTTTTTTTTGGGGGGTGGGGGTGGTTGGTACAGGAATCAAAACCTGGACCTTGGTATTATCAGCACCATGCTCTTACCAACCGAGCTAACCGGCCAGCTCACACGTTTAAAGCACACATCCTTTCCTTCAACCAACCTTGCAGAACACTTTTCACTTTGCATGGTGGCTGGACATTTTAGAGTTGACAGAGATGTAACACCTGTGGAACACGCAAGAGATCTGATTATTTGAGAAAGGCAGCCCATTCTACCCATTCAAAGAGTTTCTGGAAGGGTGTGGTATGTGGACTTTTTTTTTTATCCTTAGGCTTTTCGGGCCAGACTAACTGGGGGCAAATCCCAGCTCTGCCATTTGCAGCTGAATTGGGGAAGTTACTCTGTGCCTTGGTTTCCTCATTTGCTAAATAGTAATAAAATCTATCTCATGGGGTTGTGATGTTAGTATGGGAAAGCATCTAGAACACTGCCCAGCATGTTGTTAGCTGTCACTGGCTGATGTTATCATGACCTGACTACACATGCCAGTCCCTCATGGAAATACCATGGTGGGATTATATTGTAATGTCTTGACCTTTGCCTTTGACACTGTTCCAGTGAAATAGTATTTTTATATAAATCTCAAGAAAATAAATCATCTTGGTCTCAATCTCCTCTTTATTTGCATGTGGTTACAAGTTATAAATACACTCACCATTTTCCTCCCCTTCTAGAACTCTCCCCATACTTGTAACCCTCCCCAGCCCCCCAGCTTGTATCGCCTCCCTTCGCTCTCCTCTAGGAGGTGAGGAGAGAGATGTTCTCCATATCACTTCGTCTTCATATAGGGTCTACCTCAGTCTGTGTGAAGTGTGGACCCTCAAAGGGTCTCTGAAGCTTGGGGATGAGCACCTCGAATCCTTCAGAAGTCCTGGTGATGTTCTTGCAAGTGACTGTGTAGCTGGCTCCCTTCTGTGCCATGCTTAGGGTACAGAGTGCCATGGTGGGCCACAGTTAGCATCGTATGCCCTGTCCGTGCCTGAGGCTGAGCTGGCGCAGCCCCAGTGGGCAGGTGGGTCTGGAATAAGGTCTCTGGCTTGCCCAGGCAGTGGCGAGAGTCCTGTGGAGGGCACTGTACCCAGCCGGTGCCCAGTCCTGCTCTCAGAGAGGTGTCTGAGGTCCTGTCCTTTAGGGCTCTGCCTCTCAGGGCCCTACCCAGGCCCTGTGAATCCTGTGTGGGTGGGGCGGCCTCAGGGGAGAGGGTGCTCTCTGCCGCCCTTCTCCTTGCTTTCCCCAGACACCATCAGTCATGGGTGACGAACTGGCTCCTTGGGCCTCTGTTAGCAGGGGGAGCGCCCCAGTGTCTCTGTCTCAGCCAGGTGCCAAGCTTTGCCATCTTCCTGGTAGGGTGTAGAGAGCCCAGGAGGGTCAGGGGCACCTTCCTCAGGAATGGGGTATGAAGGCTCTGGGGGAGCTGGGGGGTCTCCAAGGCCCTGTGCTCCCCCTAGTACTGGCCCATTGTAGATGTAGATGTTGCCAGTGACAGTCACAGATCCACCAGTGACATGAATGCCATTGGTACCTGTGGGAAGGGAGGCAGAGTGAGGGGGCTGAGGGAGCACTGCTGAGGAATGAAGTCCCCCAACGTCGGACCCACTGGTCCTGAATTCTCCCAGCCTTCTGCCAGCCTTTTGCCCTTTCTGCCTGTCCCCTCGCCCATTTGCCACGGGTTCCTTGAGCTCTGTGTTCGTTTCTCTGATTCTGGGTTGTTTAGTTTCTTACCTTCTCTCTAGCTGTGACTCTTGCTGTCTGTTGGAGTTTCTGTCTTGCCTCTGCTTCAGTCTTTTTGTTTCTTCTGGTCCATGCTCTCTCTCCCTCCTCAGCAGCCCTCCCTCCCCATCCTGCCCACACTCCCTTCTCCCTGCCACTTGTCCCAGGCTCACCGTGGGCCACCTGGCCCTGTTCCCCAGGCTCGGGCTCCAGCTCCCTGGTCTGGCCCACAGGACTCTGCTGTTGTAGCACCTCGTCCTCCAAATCTAGGGTCGCCGGGAGCCTGGCAGAGGCTGGGGACGTGTCTCTGGAGATGGGCAGAAGTGGCACTACCAGGTCAGGGAAATGCGGGTTGGCCATCGGAGGCTGCCAGCTTGCAGCAACTGCATTTGATTCCTCTCCCTGCAGGAGAGAGATAGAGAACCAGCCAATGATGAGGCCACAGACCCCGTCCTTCTTTAATTCCCACAGTCCGTCCCATGTGTTGGCAGCTCACTGCCCACCTCTGCCCCTCACTGTGCCCATGCCTAAGGGTCTTTGCACTGATGTCCCGTCTTCCTGCAGCACTTTCACTCTGATGGCCGCACCGCTGGCTTCCTCGCTTTTCAGCTTTCTGCTCAAATATCAACTTATCAGAGAGACCTTCCCTATCCATTCTAGAATAACATGCCCCCATCCTTTGCCTCCGTCACTCACTGTCCCCTTCCCTGCTTTATTCTTGCTCCACTGGCATGTAAACTCCAGGAGGGTAGGTACTGTTTTGCTCGGTGCCTATAACAGTGCCTGGCTCATGGCATGCTCAACAAATTATTAGCTGAGGGAACGAGTGAGTGCTGAAGCTTGCACACTCCCGGCCTTGTCGCTCATCACCTCTGTCCCTCCTTGCTGCCTTCTCTGCCTCCCCCATTACCTCTGGACGCCGCTTGAGCAGGAATCCTGCAATGCAAAATGAAATGGGTGTAGGGCCTCCAGCAAGCCTCAGACCACCAGCCTCTCACCCTCCGCACCCGGCCATAATGTGTTGCTGCCCACCTTCGGGTCCCAGAAGGAACAAGCTACTGAAAGCCTTTACTCCAGCCTCAGAATGAGGGGCCGGATGAAGATAATGATGTCTATGCCACGTTGGGGGCAGGAACTGGGAGTCTTGTGGGTATAGGGGGCAGAAGGGTCTGCACTGGAGAAGTTGAATATTCCTCCCCTCACCCCTGCCACCAACCCATCCAGGTGGGGATGGAGGGCCCAGCCTGCCTCTGTGCCAGCATCCGGCTCCTTCCTACCCAGCTTTCTGCAGAGAGAGGGGTGGCTCTTCCAGGCAAAAATGGTGGCGAGGAGCAGAAAGGAGAGCAGTGGCAGCAGGATGACCGGCATCAACACAGTTCCTGCCAGGACAGCAGACAGGGGGGACAGTGATGACCCCGAGAACAGCAGAGGGAGAGGAAGTTAAGGGGGAGCTTTCCGGTTCTCTGGCAACCCAGACAGAAGAAAGGGGAGCAACTTTTTTCCTGCTAGCCATACTGCAGTTCCTAAAGGCAAAATGAAAGAGACTTCCCTTGGTTTACAGAGAAGGGGGACTAAGTTGGACTTGGGGTAGACCTCCTGACAGCCCGGGGAGACTCTGTCATGGATGGAGATGTGCTGGGGGTGGGGCAGGTGTCCTCTGGCTCCGACATTGGGATTGGTGCAGTCTCATGGGTGAGGGGGGGAGCTTGGGCAGTTGGTTGTCAAGGCCTGGAAGTGGGGGTGGGAGGCAATAGGGGAGAGTGGGGCTTGGGGTTGTCAACAGACTCAGACTACAGGATGGAGTCACACTTCTGTGGACTTGGCCCTCTTACAGAGGGGCCACTGCAGAGGAGCTGGGATCGCCACTCTGTACCTGTGGGAGAGTAGGGGAATCTCACTTCTGAACTCTGCCCATGGCCACCAGGGACGGGGGGGGGTTGTGAGTTCTCCACCCCCTTGCTCAGGGCAGGTTCCAGGCAAGGAGTTTGGTTTCTCTGGCTCTGATCTGCAGCGGTGGATAATTTCTATCTCTCTATGGGCCTCAGTACCACCATCAGTAGCATGGAGTCTACAGTGCCCATCAACTATGCCTGCAGAAGGCCAGGAGGACATGGACATTTGTGTACTGGGAGTTTTGCCCTTTCTGACCCACCTAATCCATGGCCTAAGGTAAGGGGATACGGTATGGGAGGCATGAGAAGAAATTGGACTAGGAGTCTGGACACCTGGGTTCCTGCCCAGAGGTGTGACTTTTAAGTCATTTCACCTCTGCGCATCATATATGAAATGAGGAAGTTAGCTTTCATACTCTAAAATTCCAACTCTAAGATGCAAGTCATATTTGATACTTAGTTAAAAATTAATGAAGACACAGAAAAATATTTATAATATATTGTTGAATGAAAAATCAGACTATAAAACATGAAAAGTACTCTACTTTTAGTAAAAAATATTATATTATATTATATTTATTATATTATATTATATTATATTATATTATATTATATTATTGCATAGAAAAATGTCTGGGAGGATATATACTAAAATATTAAGAGCGAATGTGCTTGGTGATGGCTCCGTGGGTAAGTTTTAGTTTTGCTTGTCTGAATTTTCTAATTTTCTATTGTGTGCATGCATGATGCCATGAGCTTTGGAGTAAGAAAGACCTGAGTAGAGGCCTTAACACCAGTTACCACCTGGATGATCCTGGGCAAGACACTTAACCTATTCAAGCCTCTGTTTCCTCATCCAGCCAGTGAGGAAAGTAATAGAACCTACTTCACTGGATCATGAAGAGGACTAAATGAGTTCATGAATGTAAATTGTTTACAGAGTGCTTGACACACTAGCTCTTAATAAATGGAAGCTATAATTGTAAATATTTGGTAATTTTAAAAAGTTAATAAATTCTCTGCCAATTAGTAACCAGTACAGTCATTAGAAACATCTTGTAATCATAGACTAGGCTAGGAAACCAATTGGTTCACAGAAAAAACCAAGAAAGAGTCAAATGGGGGATCATCTCTGCAACGATGAAAGTATGTAATCTAATAAAGAGGTATTTAGTCTAGTAAACGGATTATATCGTGTGCAAGATGATGAAAGTAATGTCAGTTACAATCACATCTCAGCATGGGAGTGTTTCTTGGCATATTATACAAGGGCACTTCAAAAAGTTTGTGGAAAAATGTAATTAAGAGATAAAACAAATCCTTCCATGATCTTTTTGAAGACCTTGAGCATATAACTTAAAAAGTGTGTATGAGGCCGGCCCGTGGCTCACTCGGGAGAGTGCGGTGCTGATAACACCAAGGCTGCGGGTTTGGATCCTACATAGGGATGGCCGGTTGGCTCACTGGCTGAGCGTGGTGCTGACAACACCAAGCCAAGGGTTGAGATCCCCTTACCGGTCATCTTTAAAAAAAAAAAAAAAAAAGTGTGTATGAGTGTGTGTGTGAGATTGTGTATGAGTGTGTGTGAGTGTGACTGTGTGAGTGAGAGCATGTGAGAGTATGAGCGTGTGTGTGTGAATGTGTGATTGTGTGTGGGTGTGACCGTGAGTGTGTGAACGTGTATGAGAGTAAGTGTGAGCATGAGCATGTGTGTCTGTGAGAGTGTGTGTGTGTGTGAGATTGTGTGTGAGTGTGTGTGTGTGTGTATGAATAAACAAGCCTGGGGCTACTCCAATTTCTCTTTAAGGAACATTTTTTCTTGTCCCAATTCTGGAGGGAAATGATAATCTTTCCCCACTTTTTAAGATGGGGGGATTAAGGCACTTCCCCAGACTCCCCGTTCTGCCCCTCAGCCTTGTGCCTCACCTGGCATCTCAGTTGGCAGCAGATCTGATTGGTTTCTGCAGCTTGTGTCAGACTGGGCGGTGCCTGGAGCTGCCTCCACCAGGCCCTGGTCCTCACACCTGCAGAGGAAAGAGAGGGCTAGGACCTCTTAATGCTGCCATCTGCCAGTGCCCCCTCTCAAGTGGGCATATGGGGCTGGAAGTGGTGAGGTGAGCCCATGGAGTCAAGAATGGCTGGGGGTTGTTAGCAGCTGGGGCTTCTTGGGGAGTGGAAGGAGCAGGGGTGGGGTTCACTCACCTGGTGTGGGGCTGGCAGCGGGCGGTGGGGGAGGAGGTGTTCTGGAAGTGCCCTGCCTTGCAGGGGATGCAGTTGTTGTTAGCCTCCCCAGCTTCATCTGGCAAGAGAAAGGCAGGCCGGCCAGGGTGAATGGGCAAAAGGGATCCCACCGGATGGCTCCTTCTTGCCCACCACCCCTTTCTGTAGCTCTCACCTTTCCCAAGCTCTGCTTTGCTTCCTACCATTTTGCCCAAGTTTCTCCAGTGCTGAGAGGAGCCCCTACCTGTGCCCCTGCACCTGTCCCAATTCCATTTCTCTGTAGGCCCCTTCTGAACCTTTTGCACAGAATGAAAAGACAACTACCTGGGGGGTCGACATGGACACAGTACCATGCTCCCTGCCCCCACTCAAGATCACCTATTCCCAGCTTCCTTTTCACCCTCTGCCCCCAGTGACTTCTGACCTTTGACCTCCACTTCGGTGCCAGGCGGGCAGTCAGAAAGTGGCTCACAGTGCTCACACTCAATGGCCCAAGAGGCGCAGAACATTCCTGGCTGGCAGTGGCACTGGGTTTTCTGTTTGTTAGTGCAAGGCGCGATCTCCCTGAAGCCCATCACTGGTGGGGAGATGGGAGAGCTCAGGGAGGGGCTGCACTCCAGAAGACCCCAGCCCCCCAGGCACATTCCACTCACCTGGGTCACAGCGGCGGCACAGCTGGCAGGTGGGGAGGTGGTTCCAGTACTCATTGTAAGAATTTTCGGCGCATGTGGTGCAAACTGTGTCCTGGCTGCGGCTACACTCAGCTGAGACATAGGTGCCTAGAATGTGAATGGGAGAGTAGGGGTGTCAGGGAACAGGGTTCCACCCTCACTTCTGCCAGTTGCCGTGCATGTGACACCGGGTCTGTCCCTCAGTCTCTCTGTCCCTGCCGCATCCCCCATGGCTCTCCAGCTACCCCTCTGTGAGGAGGGTGAATCTCGGTGCCTGCACATGACTGATGGCCAGTGTCTCTGACTCTGTCTCTGCCTGCTAGTTTTCCTGGGGACAGTGTCCACCTTCCCTCAGAGGCAGCAAAGTGGCTGGAGCCCCCTGTAGGCCACCTCCTTGTCCCAGGCTTCCTCCGGCCGTTGCCTCTTACCTGGGGGGCAGCGGGAGCAGCAGACCCGATGCTTGGGCTCGTAGTACTTCTTCTCCTTGTCCCAGCAGGTTTGGTTCTCGGAGCGGTATGGGGGCACCTTCAAGGGGAGAATTAGTTAGGGGTCAGCATGGGAGGGCAGAGGGACTGGAGAGAGGGCTGCTCAGACCTCTTTTCCCTACATTTGCACCCCCCGCTGGGCCCCCCGTACCAGCTGGGGCTGGGATGCTGCCAGGAGCCCGTAGAGGCCCAGCGCCAGTGGCCCCCAGGCCAGGCCGCGGGGAGAGGCGGCCCAATGCAGGCGCATGGCGGTCAGTCTGCCAGTCGACCAGATGGCTGGAGGCCTGGGGGGAAGGTGAGAGTCCCGGACGTCCTGGGCAGTGATGGCGGCAGCTTCCCAAGCCCCGTGGCTGGGACAGGACGCGGGGCTGATGTGCCCCCTGGGGCCGGGAGCGGCCGGGCCTGGCCTCCAGGGCTCCAGCCGCCAGGCTCAGGAAGTGGGAGTGGAGCGGGCGGGGACAGGGAGCGCTGGGAGCTGGGGGCGGCCTGTCGCAATCGCACCAGTCGCATCAGGGAAGAGGAACAGGCTTGACTGCCTCGATGAGGAGGGGAGGGGGGCCGGGAAAGCACGTGAGGGCAGCAGGGCCGGAACTGGGCCTCCTCCCTTCTTCTTTGGAAGCCTGACCGGGAGAAGAGGGCTGCGGGGCAGGCCAGGCCCCGCTGGAAGGGAAGGGCAGCAGAGCCAGCAGACGGCTAGGGCAGAGCTGACCAGGGAACAGATGGAGCTCGAGAAAGAGCAGCAGACAGCAGGGTGCCAGGTCCGCTAAACACTGAAAGTGCACTGAGCAGACACCCGCAGACAGCCAGCACATGTGGCATCGGGGACCCAGAAGTCCCAGTTGGCAGATGCCTGGGTTCCTGCCCTGACACCAGCTTTTTAAGAAAAGCTACAAGAGCTGGCCCTCCACCCTCTTGGCCTAATCCATTCCACATACCACTGGGCACAGGTTCCCTGTAAGACACTTGCAAGGGTACATGGGCCCTGTTCCCCTGTCCTTAGAGAACCCCCATTCTAGGGGGTGATGGGGAGGATGTGAGGACTGGACTCCTGAAGAGTTGGGGTAGGCTGGCTGGAGGTGGGCAGCCACAGTCCTCAGCTCCAACTTCCTCAACCGTGAGCCTTTGAAACCCTCTGAACTGGACAGTCCAGCCCCTCACCTTAAGAGTGAAGGAGACTGAGGCTCAGGGTGCCATGTCAAGGAGACCAGGATTCCAGGGAGGCTTAGTCTGGTCCCTGCCCCCTTTCTTCCCACCATCTCCCTTCAGCTCCTCAGCAGCCCCACAGAGCTGTTTGCAGTGGCCCCTTTATGCCTGGCTCTCTGATCTCCATGTGTGTCCCTGGCTAACTCCCATCTGTCCTTGAGGATTCAGTAAGGCTCTGGGAAACATCCCCTACCCCAGGCTACCCCCCACCCAATGAAGACTGCTCTCTGTAAGCTGCTCTTATTTGCTGCCCCACCAGGCTGTGAGCTCTGCGATGATCTGGACTGAATCCTTAGGCCTCGGTTCTCAGTGCTCAGCCTGGAGTCTGGCACGTACCACACACCTAATACATATTTATGGAATAAATGAATGAGGTCCACATCACACAGCCAGTCCATGGCAGAACCAGCTTGGAGTCCAGGTCTCCTGTTTCTAGGTCCCAGCTCATTCCAGCAACCATGCTGCCTCCTTGTGACTTAGGGGTGTCACGCTTGGGCTGGGGGGCTAAGCTTCTCTGGTCACCTGGGCACTGTCCCTCTCCCTGAATAACTGTGGTTAGCACTCATTCTTACCCTGGTTGGACTGATGGCTGGACAGGCTCTTGGTGGAGACGTGCTGGTGCAGGAGTGAGTCTGGGGAGGACAGGTCTCAGAAGGGTGGGGAGACTTGCCTGATCTTTAGACATTTCCTCTGTGAGGCTGTCTCTCCCCACTTGGTGCAGGCCCAGGACCTGCATTCTGTTTCAACTGTATGTACGGGTGGTCCGAGGCTGCCCAGAAAGGGAAGAAATATCAGAAGGGCGGCACTGCTCAGGGCTGCTGCTCTCTCCAGGTCAAGGGAGCTGGGGCTGGGACTGGACTCACCACTGAGCCCTTAAACACATAAAGGAATGTGTGTGTGTCAGCCTTAGAGCCTTTTTTTTTCTCCTTTCTTCTTTTTACTGTTTCTTATGGCAATCTCACACAAAACCTGATATACAAAAGGAGAGAAAATAATATTGGGAACCCCATATACTCATTACCCAGCTTAAATTCATGGCCAGTCTGTTTCCTCCATATACCCCTTTCCCCCACCAATAAACACACTCATCTAATCCCCACTGATTATTTTGAAGCAAATCCCAGACATCACGTTATATTATTTTCAAATACTTCAGGATTTTACTCTGAAAGACAAGGACTCTTTTTCTTTTAATTGAGGTATAGCAGACGTACAATGAAGTTCATAAAGCATACTAGTCTCATGTCTACAGATGAGTGAATTTTCACTTTGGTACGTTCTTGTGTATCCTCCCCAGAACATTTCTTGCACTACAAAAAGTTGCTGCATGCCCTTCTCAGTCCAAGCTCCTGCTTCACAGGTAATCACAATCTCAGATCCTTTGTAACCCCAGCTGGCTGAACTATGTCCGTCTTTCTGCAGCCAGCCCGATGCAGTCACTTCAGCCCTCAAGGACTCGTTAGGTCCTAAGGAAAGAGCCCTGAGGTCTGGGTTTTTTTTTTTTTTTTTTTTTTTCCCTTTTTTGTCTTTTTTCGTGACCGGTAACGGGATCGCAACCCTCGGTGTCGCGCCCGCACCGCGCTCAACCAGTGAGCGGACCGGTCTCTATAGGGGATCTGAACCCTCGGTGGGAGCGCCGCCACACTCCCAAGTGCCGCAGTCTACCAAGTGCGCCACTGGGCCGGCCCCATGTCCTGTTTTTGTTAACAAAATTTTATTGGAACAGACCATGCTCATTTGTTTGTATATTGTCAATGCCTGCTTTCCTGTTATGACTCCAGAGTTGAGTAGCTGTGCAGTTAGGACTGTATGGTGCACAAATACTGGCCTTGACAACAACAACAACAAAAAATTGCTGACCTCTGGGCCGGCCCGGTGGTGCACTGGAGAGTGCGCCGCTTGGGAGCGCTGTGGCGCTCCCGCCGACGGTTCGGATCCCATGTGGAGACCGGTTCCGGCTCACTGGCTGAGCGCGGTGTGGGCGCAACACCGAGGATTGCAATCCCATTGCTTTTGATGTTGGTCCATCACTTCACCTCTCTGGGTCTCTCTTTTCATGCCAGCCAGCTACTGGTTCTCTTGCAGCCCTATTCTCTACCCTTCCTGGGCTCTGCTCGTTGTCACTATTGGGAACTACATTTCCCAGACTCCCTTTCCTCCTGGCTTCTGGGTAGGTTCAGCCAGTAGGAGGTGCTGGTAGAAGGCAGGTGGGTGGGAGGAGGGAAGCAGCCAGGCGATTTCTCCCCCTCTGTTTCTGGCATCGCCTGTGGTTGGTTGTGTCTTCCTTCCCTCCTTCCATAATCCCACCTCCTACCGGGTAGCTCCCACGATTTAGTCCTCGCCAAACAGCTCTGAGGCTTCTCGGTCTGTAATGGTACCTTACCCTGCTGGCTTTCCAGCCTTGCAGATGGCAGCCACTTCCTGCTTTGCCGTTTTCTGAGTTGCCTCACTGTCCCCTCTTGGTCTTCTAACACCTGTATGTTAAATTCCCTGTGTGAAATTTCTTTCATTTGAAAGATTCAGAAGCGAGCTGCTGATAACACCAAGGTCATGGGTTCGGATCCCCATACTGGTCGTCAGAAAAAAAAAAAAAAAAATAAAATAAGGAAAGACTTAGAGTTTTTCCTGTTTTCCAGCTGGACCATGACAGACAAATGTTATCAATAAATGGTTATTATAATGCCCACCCACCCCTACCCAGGAAGATGAAGAGAGACTCACAGGGGTGAGAAGTGCATGAGCTGTGTGGGCAGGGAAGTGCTGAGAGACCCTTCTTCCCACAGGCCGTGAAGAATCCAGAAGGGGGTTGGCGGGAATGGGTTCTTCTAAATACTTCCTTTCTCTCCTCTTCCCTGCACTGCTCTTAGCCAACTGGTGCCCTTGGAAAGAGTCTGGTAAACACTGCAAAATGTGTAACTGGTGAGGATTGCCCTTCTCCAGGGTGTTTGCATTTTCAGTGGGGACAATGCCTTAACCCAGTCGTTCTCCACTGGGGTGACTTTGCCCCCCAGAAGACATTTGGCAATGTCTGGAGATGTTTTTGGTAGCAACGACTCAGAGGTACTATTGGCAGGGATGCTGCTAAGCATCCCACAATGCACAGGACAGCGGCTTTCTCACAACAAAGAATTATCTGGCCCAAAATGTCAGTAGTACCTATGTTGATAAACCTTGTCTTACCCCAAGGGAATAAATTTGTACTGGTGAACTTCTAAGTATCCTGCCAGGTGACTAGACTAAGAGTGGCAGGAAGGGATTTTCTGGTGCATTATTTTAGATTAAAGAAAAATACATACAACACAATTGCAGATAAAAACACTGCTGTTTTCCACAGTGGCTGCCCAGTGAGGAAAAGCTCTGAGTAGTAAGAATAAAGAGTTACATTTAATTGGTTCAGTCATTTTTACCCTAGAAAGGATAGAGGCCGAAAAGGGAAAAGTGAGAAAAATTTGGATAAATTAATAGACTACAAATAAATAGGTTATCAGAGGAAGTTAGGGTGTTTGGTGTTTTGGGGATGCTTTCTCACAGCACATTCCTCTCTGTCAAAGATAAACCTCGCGTCTGATCCAAGACGCTAATTCTGCTGTCTTCTGCAGAGTGGGTCAACAAATAGTGATCACTAGTCATTGAGGTCACCAAGATGAATAAGCCCGGTCCCTGTCCTCAGAGGACTCATATGATCTACACATATGTAAACACACACACAAATCACTGTGTACTGTTGTTATCATCCTGCGTGTGTGTGTGTATGCACGCGCGCGTGCTGAGATATGCCCTCCCTGGGAGTGTGGAGGAGAAAGTGATTACTTCTATCGTTTCCTGTCCCCAGAATGCAAGAGGCAGGAAGACCCTTCCCACTCAGTCCTCTCCCACTGCAGACCCTCTGGTTTCACTTCTCTTCTGGCAGCCTTTGCACGTGTTACGGCCACACCACAGGGTTAGAGAATGGCTGATGTTGGGCAGAGAAGGCAGCCCTGAATTGGAAGGAAGGGGCTGGGGCTTTGGGAGAGGCTAAGGGAAGCCCTGGGAAGGGTGGGGGGCTTCCAAGACAAGGTTACAAGGCCCCTGACCTCCTATAGAACAAGACTAAGCTTCTCTAGAAGCCAGGTAAGGGCCCTGAGCTTGGAAAGGGGAGGCTCGGTTCTCTCGTGTGTTAAGCAAGGTCTGGGTGTGGTGCCAGCCAGAAAGGGCCTTTGCGGCCAGCTGGGCTGCCTCAACCTCCCCTCCTGCCCTTTCACTTTTCAGAGGAGAGCACTGAGGCTCAGAGGAGAAAAGTGCCTTTTCCAAAGTCACAAAGCTTAAAAGCAAACATGGGAGTCATAGAATAATAACTATAGCACGACCGCACTTATAAAAACAACTACATATTTTGTTTTTTAAAAATACACATAAGTCTATAAAGGCACACAAAAAGATATAGTGGGTATACAAATTATAGTGGCCCCTGTATAGTGGCGGGAAAGGAATGGGACAAAGAGAAGCTTTTATCAGTCTACGTACTTGTACTTCAGTATTGCTGGAAAGGTGTATCGAGACAAAAACGCGTTTGTGTATTATTTTGGCACTTTAAAAGACAATATCTAAAATGGAGCTCTGACAGAAGTGCAGGTCTCAGATGTCTCTTTTTCTCACAACAGCAAGCTTGCTCCGGTCCATTCCAGATATCGGATGCTGTGGTCTCTGAGCTCACTGCCACTCCCAGACCCTGGCCGGATGTGTCAGGGTCACCACATGCTCTGGCTCAGCCTGGACTAGGCCCTGCAGTTCTTCTCATGGAGTCCTTGAGATGAAACTGTCTGCTGCCATAAGCCAGTGGCTGGATTTCCCGCATCAGCTAGCAAGTAGACAAGACAGGGAGGTGCTTCTCAGAACTCTGGAGATCGAGCAGTCAGGAGCTGAGTTCCCTGTTCGTAGATAGGACCATCCCTTATCCCTAGTTTAAGGACCTGGATCAAAGGAGACTGCAGTTTCTCGGTGTGTCTGGGTCCTGTGGGCAGGTGGGGATAGTGTAGAGAATGTTTTACAGAGACAAGGAGGTAGTGCAGAGGGCTGATGAATCCGTGAACTCTGGGAGGGGGAGTGATTCCTTCCTGGCTTTCAAATCCAGGTGCAGAAGAGCCCCAATTCTTCATGAGTGTGTGGCTCAGGAAGTCAACGGCAAAAGCACTAAACAGAGAATCCCAGAGGAGGAGAAAAATTCTGAATTCTGTTTATAAGTCTGCTATTTTGTTTTGTGGTCTCAGAAAACTGGCTTATCCTTATGGAGAGTCAGTTTCTTCATCTGGAAAATGAAGAAAAAGCCAGCCTTTCCCTTCCTAGGGAGGGGAAGGTGTCGACGGGAGCCACAGGACCAGGTTTGGAATCCTGGTTGACACCAACTCTACTTCAAGAAGTCACAAGAAAGGAAGCCCCAAGACCAGGCTGTACCCTGAGCCTGGAGGACCCTCCTTCCCTCTTCTTTGCCTGGTAAACCACTTGTCCTTCAAGGTCCAAAAGAGGTGCCACCTTCTCTGGAAAGTCTCCTCGCAGTAGGTCCCTCCCCTGCTCTCTGCCAGGCTCCCACAGCACTTGTTCTTATCTCTGCCACCAGAATCCTTATCATATTACAACCACCTACTGGCAGGCCTGTCTCCTTCCATAGGTCTGTATCAGCATTCAGGCTGGGCCTGTGTCTGCACGTTCCACGCAGTGCGTAGGGAGGCCCCTGCCAGCTGCTTGCAGGAGGCGGAAGAAGCCCTCTGGGCTGCCTCCCGCAGGGCTCGTGAGCAGACTTCTGGCTCTGACTGCCTGTGCAGGGCCTGGGCTGTGAGGGTGAACCTCCTTGGGCCCTCTTTTTGGGTCTGACTCTCTGACCCTTCCCTCTCTCCTTACTCATTCCTTACCCTCTTGCTGGATTAAGTTTGGACAGAGATTTTGAGATAAGAGAAACACATCGTCCCTCCCAGTTAGCTTTTCCTTCATTCCAGGGCTGGCGTGGACTTCAGCCGTGCCCGCTCTCTTCCTCCCAGATGGCAGCGCTGACCACATCCCTCCTTGCCCGCTGCATGCCTGCCTTCCCTGCCTTTCCTTGGGCTGCGGGTCTGTGCCCACAATGCCCTGCCTGGCCCCGAGCTGCCTCTCGGTGCCCACATTCCTGCAACCCCGTGACCACAACAGGGGACATTATACATTCCTGGCCTGGCAGCCAATGGTGTAAAAAAGAACAGAATGTCCCAGGGCCCCACCCAGCCCCAGCTTCACCTGGGCCCCTCCCTGGCCTGGACAAAGTTGGAGGGGGGGATGGCTGGGAGTCAGGAGGGAAGAGGATGGACCAGGAGGAAGAGACATTCCGGTGGGGCCAGGCAGTGTTCCCACGTTAGTGAGAGGGAGGAGGCTTCAGGGACCGGGGTATGAGGCCGACCCTTGCGTACTCTTGGAGGCATTCCCACGGGAGGGGGCCTGAGCTCCTGGAAGCCCACTTGGCACTCCCTGCCCTGCTCTCTGCCTGCGCTCCCGGGGCCTTCCCCGTCCCGCCCTCTCTGTCCTTCACCCCGTCCTCTTCCATTTGTCTCCCTTTCTCTGTCTTCCCTGTTCTCCTGGTTTCCCCGCCCTGCTCTCGCTCACTCAGGCTTGTCCTTTGTCCTGTTTTGCCCTCCTGGCTCTGTGTTCAGGATCTTTCTGCTTGTTCAAGATCTCTGACCCTTGGCTGCCATTCTCTCTCTCGGTCTCCTCGCCTGCTGCGCCCCATCGGTGCCTGCCCAGAGTCTTCTTCAGGCCCCCTCCCGCATTCCCAGTACTTCCCAGTACTCCTGGGCTCGCCTGCCCTCAGGAGCTCTCCTCCCTTTGGAAAACTTCCAGCCCAGACTCCACCTCTGCTCCTCCCCTGCCCTGCTCACCTTTAATTGAGATGCTAATGAGCCTTCTGTTGCTTCCATCCCTGGCTGGCGGGAGGGCTCCCTGTCCTGGCTGCTGCACCTGTCAGGTGAGGGGGAGGAGAGGCTTGGCTACCAGATTCAACTGGAAAGGAACCGTCCCGGCCCAGCCGCGACCTGGGAGTAGGGAGCGGGATGCGGCCCAGATCTCCTGGATCCCCGGTAGAGAGGGAGTCAGGACACAGCTCAAGGACAGGGCCAGAAACAGGAGAGGGCCTAGACTGAGAGGGGGAAGAGGAAGAGAGGCAGAACCAGAGAGCCTGGCGCAGGAGAGGAGGCAAGAGCACCAGGGAAGGGGCCTGAAGAGGGGCAGAAGGCAGACGGACAGAGGGAGTGACAGGCAGCTCAGACGCAGAGGTCCTGGAGGAGGAAGAGCAAAGCCGGAGACTGAGTGCTCTGCAGACAGAAAGGGAGGTGCTGGGACGGAAACCAAAAGGTGGCCTCATCAGGGAAGTGCAGGCCACTCCAGAGAAGCCCAGCTCCAGCCTCTGGCAGGTCAGCTGGCTCCTGGAAAGGTGGCGCAGGGTTGAGAGTGGGCTCAGGTGTGATGTGGGCATGGTCAGGGGCAGCCTCAGTCTGGGTTCAGGGTGGGACGGGGGAGGGCACCCAGGGCCGAGCTCAGCCTTGACCCTGCGCCTTGTCCTCCCCAACCCACCCAAGTGCTCATGAAGGGGGACAAGCGCGAGGAGCAGGGGCTGGGCCCCGAACCTGCGGCCCCCCAGCAGCCCACGGCAGAGGAGGAGGCCCTGGTCGAGTTCCACCGCTCCTACCGGGAGCTCTTCCAGTTCTTCTGCAGCAACACCACCATCCACGGCGCCATCCGCCTGGTGTGCTCCCAGCACAACCGCATGAAGACGGCCTTCTGGGCCGTGCTCTGGCTCTGCACCTTCGGCATGATGTACTGGCAGTTCGGCCTGCTGTTCGGAGAGTACTTCAGCTACCCCGTCAGCCTCAACATCAACCTCAACTCGGACAAGCTTGTCTTCCCCGCTGTCACCGTCTGCACCCTCAACCCCTACAGGTCAGTTGGCCCCTCCCTCTGTCACTTCCTGGCACCTGCAAGGGTGGTCCAGAGGGTGCTGGGGTGCCTGCTTGTCAGGCAGACCCTCAGACCCAGGGGCGGTGGCTGATGTTCCTGTCCCGGGTGGACCTCCCTGAGGGCAAGATGGAGAGCCCTGTTTGGCAGACTGGAGTCTCTGCCCAGGGGAGCCATCCTAGTGCCTAGGCTTACCCAGAGTGAGTTCGTGGGAACAGCAGTGCCTTCCCCTCGCCCTCCCAGCTTAACCCTGCCCCCTTTCTGGAGCAAGATGACAACAAAGAACGAGGCCTCCTCCACCTCCACAGGAGAGTCAGCTGGAGAGGTGAGGCCAGGCTAGGCAGGCACTGCTGAGGTGCGTGGGGTTGGTCTTTGCTTAGAAGGGGAGAGTATTAGTCCATTTTCTGTTGCTTATAACAGAATACCTGAGACTGGGTAATTTACAAAAAACAAATTTTATGTCTTTCAGTTTTGGAGGTTGGGAAGTCCAAAGTCCAGGGTCATACCTGGTGAGGACCTTCCTGTTGGTGGGGATGCTCTACAGAGTCCAGTGGCGATGCAGGGTATCACATAGCAAGAGCTGATCGAGAGCACTTTCCCACATGCTTTCTTCCTCTCTTTATAAAGCCCGCAGTCTACTCCCTGATAACCCATTAGACCATTAACCCATTAATCCATAAATGGATCAGTCCATTCATGAGGGCACAGTCCTCGTGATCCAATCAACCCTTATATGTCCCACCTTTCAAATACCATACTAGGGATTAACCTCCAACATGTGCTCTGGAGGACATTCAAATCATAGCAGGGAGTTTGTTACAGAGAAAGTAAACTGGGGGGTGGTGTACGTTAGGGCTGCAAAGCAAACCTTGAGGCTTTGGGGGGTGGTGGTTGTTACAGAGCCAGAAGAATGGGGCAGGATAGAGAGCAGCCCTTTGTCAAGCGGTTCCCCAAAATACCTAGGCTAAAATGTGGAGGTGATCCATATTGGGCTGCACTGTTCACTTGCCCGGGTGCCTGACCTTTAAGTGCTTGGGTGTTTCCTGAAGTTTTGGGTTTCCTCAGTGCTCTCTGCCAGTTTTAGATCTAGAAACCAGAGAGGGGTGGGTAACCATGGAGAAGACAGGAGGGCAGGGCTGAGTGTTTATATATACCTTTTATTTGTATTCACCCAGTCATGCCACACCTTGGGGACACCTGCCTCAAGCAGACACACTGGTAGGCACCTGGCCACCTGGACTCATGAATAATTCATGCAACCTTTATGGAAGGCCAGGTATTTTGCTAGATATTGGGAGCAGAAAGATAGAATAAGATGGCAGAGATAGGCATATAAGCAATTAGCTGTAGCACACTGTGATAAGTATAAAAAAACTGTTGTTAGTCTGCCTTAGAGGAGTGTAGGATCTTCTATGAGTGTGTGTGTGAGCACACATATTGGGTATGCATGAGGTCATGCGTGATTGGGATTGGTTACATGTTGGGGGTGGAGGCTCCTTCATACATTCTATTGTGTCCAGAGATGTGTCATAGACTAATAAGGGTTGAGACATCCTGTCCTGGAGAGAAAAAACTGCCCAGCCATTTTGATTAATCTCCATGTAATGTCCAGGGTATGGGCCATTTACTAAAGAAGCTATTTTATGAGCCAGACACAGCTAAGTACTCTCCAGGCATCTCATTTAATTCTCACAAAATCCTATGAGACAGGCACTATTATTATCCCAATCTTACACTTACAGAAACTGAGGTAAAGAGAGACAAGTCACAAGGTCACAGAGATAGTGACTGAACTGTGACTGTTTGCCTGATCCCAAAACTGCCTCTTCTTAATTCCCAAGATGTGGGATGTGGAATAAATGAAATTTCCAATCAGATGTTGATTACTCTCATTTCAGGGCTAATTCCTCCCTGCAGCCTCCTGTTTCTTGCCCTGGTGCCTGCAGGCTTCCTCATCCCTCTCATTTCCTTAGGCCACGGTGGAGGGAGGGACCGAAGGGGAAGGGGAGGAACTCAGGCAGGGTGGCAGGCACTCAGTAAATATTTGCGGTTGAAAAATAGATGGGGAGGGCAGCGGTGAATCTGCTGGGGCTTGCATATTTTCTAAGGTTCTGCTGGGTACAGGGCCCTGGACAGTCCACAAAATGGAACCGCAGCCCCTGCCTGTCTCCAGGCGCCTGCAGGTCGGGAGGCAGGCATCTGCGCAGAAACAGTTCTCTTGCTTGAAGGGTTGCTGCAGGAGTTAGGAAGAGAACAGCCAGGAGAGAGGGAAGTCGGGGAGGGCTCCTAACAGGGGAAGGAAGTTGAAAACCTCCTATGTGCTCGACCCTGCGCTGGGTGCTTTATAGACACTATCTCATCTAATCCTGACAAGTCCAGGGAGGTGGGCATTATTGTTTCCATGTTTCAGGTGAGGAAACCGAGGCTCAGCAAGGTGAAATAAGTTGAGCAAGGGCACACAGTTAATAATAAAAAAATAACAACAACAATAGCTAGCACTTTTATATGTTTATGTGCCGGACATTTTAACAAATGAATCTAAATTTAAATTAAATTTTGTTATTAAATTATTTAAGTCTCACAACAGACCTTGGAAGTAGGTACCACTGTTACTCCATTTTATGGATGAGGAAACTGAGGCCTAGAGAGTTAAGTAACTTGTCCAAGTTCAGACAGGTTGCAAGTGGTGAAACTGGGATTCAAAAATCACCCCCACCCCCTACCCAAAGCTGGCACATCTTAGGTTAGCAGCTGGGTCACAAACCAAGTGTTTTTCTTTCAAAGCTCTTCCTCCCATTACGCTTTGTCTTTTTTTTTTTTTTTTTTTTCAAAGATGACCGGTAAGGGGATCTTAACCCTTGACTTGGTGTTGTCAGCACCACGCTCAGCCAGTGAGCAAACCGGCCATCCCTATATGGGATCCGAACCCGGGGCCTTGGTGTTACCAGCCCCGCACTCCCCCGAGTGAGCCGCGGGCCGGCCCTCCCATTACGCTTTGTCTTTTTTTTTTTTTTTTTTTT